CTTTGTTTTCAATGAAGCAAATATATTCGCTGCACACTTTTTTGAAAATACTATTATTAGGCTTTTCTTGTGAGAGATTGTTGTATTTGACTTCTCATTCTCTGTGTCCTGGTTTCAGGATGAGTGGACTTACGTGAGATGCTCAGTGACAGACAGACAATATAACTTCCACAGACTGCATATGCAGAGAACTGGCTTTCAAAAAATACCTTTGCCTCAGTCCTGATGGAAAAAATGAGCCAGATATGAAGGATTCCATCAGCTTTAGCAAAGCTGCTGGCCAAGAAGAGAAGTGAGAGATCCAACGAGTAAACAAGAGTGGGAAGGAAAACTATAATTCTCTGGGTGCCAATTGTTTGAAAGAAGATTTAGAATAATTTTGTCATCTCATCTCCATTCTTAAATATGTAGCTTTTAAGGATCAGCAGGTACAGACCCAAGAAGGCAGGCAAGGGCCCCTCATCCTGAGTGGTGGGGTATGCTCCCAGGTAGGGCTTGCTCAAGGCCTGGGGAGTTCTGGCACAGTTTCCATTTTTAGTTTTCATCTTCTCTTAGACATTGCACAACTGTCCAGCTTTGCGGACTTCTTAGTCTCTTCCAGACCTCATGCTTTTGTTCTGTCTGCCTCATCTAGGAGTCCATTTTTACTGCTTGTCTGCTTTGTGAGGTACATTGATCTTGTGCTCCATTTAAGCATCATCTCACTGACGTCCTCCAGACTCCTTCAGGTTGTTATCTGTTCCTTCCTCTGGCTTCTAAACTTTAACCCACCCATTTATGCTATTAACTAGTGGTCTAGTGCATGAAATTTATGCATGGGGGGTAATCCCTTAGCCCGGCCTGCACCCTTTCCAATCTGGGACATCTCTCTCACAATCCAAGATTGCTGGCTCCTAACCGCTCACCTGTCTGCCTGCCTGATTGCCCCTAACCACTCTGTCTGCTGGCCCACTTGCCCCCAACTTCCCTCCCTTATTGGCTTGATCGCCTCCAACTATCCTCCTCTGCTGGCCTGCTCACCCCCAAATGCACCCCCACCGCCAGCCTGATTGGCCCCAACTGCCCCCACCCTGCCAGCCTGCTCACCTCCTACTGTCCCTCCCCACCACCAGCCTGATCGCCCCCAGCTGCCCTCCCCTCCTGGCCTGATCACCTCTACCTTGGCCCTGCCACCATGGTTTTTTGTTCGGAAGGTCTCCTGGTCTAATTAGCATATTACCCTTTTATTAGCATAGATTCTCTTTGGTGTGGTGATATTGTCATCTGGTGTTGCTGGAAGGCCTTACCTTAAAATTTATTTGCAGGACCTAGTGTTAGAGGACCTGCCATGCACCAATTAGAGGTTCTTTTATACTCTATGTTCAAACCCTAGTGCCCTCACTAAAGGAACTGGCAGTTTTGTAGTTGGCCTTCAAGATTTTCCCCTGGTGTCATTAAAGGAAAGGAAATGCAAAGCAGAGGTGTGTGAATTTAGAAATGTTGCAGGGTGAGCCGGAGGCAAGTCAGCTCTTTGAAATGATGTTCCCAGTCTACTGGGAGTGACTCACCTTCTGGGTGGACTCTTTAAAGGGGAATGGCATGTATGTTTAACCCTTTTACCAACGGTTCCCTAAGACTTGGAGACATTTATGTTCATAAATTCAGAAGTGACAGAACTGGTCCGATAAGGGAGCAGGCAGGCATGCTGCAGCTTGCTTTATGTGACTGACACCAATCAGGTCCCTGCTATAGGAAATACATATTGCTATCAGCATAGTATGCCTTTTCAACTCCTCAATCCCTCTCTAACCATTATGAAATGTCATTCCTATTCCTCAAAGGTACAATCAAATGTAATTATAAATAAATCTTTCAAAGTGCACGAGGTTTTTGTGAGATATGTAGTAAGGTACATTTATTAGACCCTTACCAAATGATCATATTTTGGCCCAAATTTCATCCTAGCACTAGCTATAAAAATTGATAAACAGTTACTCGAGGGCATATATAACCTCTTTAAGATGAAAGACTGTTATTGAAATACTTGAATAAAATCAATTTGGAAAAAATACCAATTAAGAGGTTTTTATTTGATAAAACAGGGTACAATTAAATGTTTTTCAATATATTGTTATTATAGTTTGACATTTTGTGTAGTAGAGAATAACAGCAATTAATTTGCCTTAATATATTCTATATTTTCACCTTGTTAGCCCAAATTGCTATGATTTTTCTGTATTTCATCATTTTTAAGGAGAATGTTTCCAGCAAAGTTTTTTTTCTTTTTTCTTTTTTTTCTCTTAGACTGTAGGCTATTTTCCTAAGTGGAAAATGGCTGCTGAGTATGCGGAAAGAGCACAAAAACTTCAGCAGGCAGACACTATTTATAATCATTTGAATTTTCCATCCCTGAAAAATTCTTAAATTAGGCTTAGCAAGGCAGTCCTATTTAGCAAGCTGCTTGGACAAAGCAGAAGCTTATTGTCAAGTCTGGGGTTTGGACTGCACCTGTCTGTCCCGAGGCCCCACCTTCTTTAGCAACAGTACCTCTCCAGTATCCCAGGAAAGCTCCCACAGGTTCTTGAGATTGTCTTCCTGCAGGACCCCTGTGCCAGGTGCAGCACCCCAAGTAGTGCTCTCATTGGCTCCATCAGCTTTAGTGGGTCTGGACTAGAAATTAATGACTGTTCTTGCTGGCCCATCAACTCCAAAGTTACCAAATCTCAGATCAGATGCCAATATGAGGGATTGATGTGCCTTTGCTTTATCATACATTAGCCAAATGTTTTTGATTTTCCCTTCACTAGTAGGCAATTGGTTGGAAAACTCATCACCTTAATCATTTGAGGGTTTGAGTGAGGTGATTTCAAGTGAGTAAGTGATATACTTGGAATTGGGATGTCTTATCTATGGGTTTGCATGCCTCTTTCCCCCTCTGTTCCCTAGTGTCTCTCACTCTTTTGAGACTTTAATTCCTGTTTGTATAATTGGAATTCCTTGGCTTCCCAAATGGTGTAATTTCAGCTTTATGGTCCAGCAGAAACTTCAGCGGTGCTTACACGGTTTCTTTCTCTTTGCAGCTAGAACTGTCTCACAAAGCCATATGGTGCCAACCAGGCCTCTGGAGGGAATACAGCTTTCATGATGTAAAAGGAATAACTTATTCAAGAGAACCCTAGTGGGGCTATTGCAATGAGCTGACAATTTCTCCAGAGGTTCCCCTGTCCCTGTGTGATGACAACAGAAAACGTTTTTCTAAACAAGGAGGTTTAAAGCCTCTTGTGGAAGTATGCTATTAAGTCACAGGCTTTTTATTTCTCTGCCTAGCCCAATCGGCTGTGGCTGTGGCTTTTGTTTATTTGTTTGTTGTTTCGGTGAAATGAAACCTGCCTCCAAACCCACCCCACCCCCTCAGGCCAGATCTCTGTGGGGAGGCTCCAAATGTTAATAAAACAATTCTCAAACTTATTTAGGAAGTAGATTAACGGGAAATAAAGCACTCTTTTTTTTTTTTTTAAATTCTGAATGTGATGCAAAAATGCTGGCTTATTGAGCTAAAAATAACAAATGATAAAAGTGAGCATAAGTCAAATAGAGTTCCTTAGAGTGAACTCTGATATACACTGTTGATAGCAGTAGCAAAGTTTTAAGAAAAATTGGGAATATAAAAGATTATTACTGAGAAACTCCTGTTCATGGTTTTAAAATTTCTCTGAGTCTTGAAAAGGATTGCCATTTTTCAGTTTTACTGGTGGAACATCTAGGGTGAGTTTTTGAAACATCAGTATTCCAACGGGGCATAATTGGACAGTCACTGGTTTAAAACCTATTAGCTGTATAGTGCTCTAGGAATCGTTATAATAAAATTAATGATGGCAATGTGTGATCATGTCCCGAATGTAATATTCAAAGAGTTCCCTCTGATGATTAGCTGAGAGTTGAGGCACAGAGGAATCTGATGACAGATTCCTTATATTTGATTCCATTCATGGTGGAAGGGAGATGTGATTGACATTTAGACAGAAGACTCTCACTCCAGAGTTATTGCACAGTGAGCGAGAAGCCAGCCTGTCAGTGCTGGTGTCAGGCTTGTTCCGTGTTGAGAGAACAGCATCATTGAGAATGGAAACAGCAAAGATTACCAAGGCTGTAGCTTGAGAAGCAATATATACCGACACTGGGAGGGAAAGGGCTGTTTATTTGTAAAAGCTCACCATCAAATCACTGGACAGGATAAACAACTCATAGAGACAAATCCATTATAACTTGTTGATTTCTCTAGGCCCTCTCAATGGGGTGTTGAACTAAACTCTCTCAAATGCAAGCAATTGTGCTGGGGAAAAATCCATCTTTTATTATTATTTTTGCTGATATCTCTTTCCATGGTTGTCTGAATTATATTTAAGCATATATAATCTATTTGATGTTAGTAAGCACCCAATTTAGCATTAATTTCTGTGGATGGAAATATGAGTTATTATGTTTATGTTAGTAATGACAACACTACACAATTTGATCATTTCTGAGTACATTGATAATATTTTCATCTCAAAGAGGGAGTTCTGAGACTTTGTATTCACTTTTGAAGCATCAGCAGCTTTCAGTACAGAGGCCACACATGTTTTCTAATCTCATTTTACTCAATTTCTCTACCGGTCTGGCTCTGATTAGAGGTTCAAATAAAATTGTGATTCTTCTCTGCATCGATTATGTTAAAGTATTTCTTGTCTTTCTCCTGGCACAGCAGTATTTGCAAGAAAATGAATTGTTATAAAGTTGTAGCAGAGCAGCACAAGTGTTCTTTGAGGGCTATTCTACTAGATTTCCAGATAGTTGAAACTTTTTTTTTTTTTTTTTTTTTTTTAATATACTCAACTTCACTTCATAAATAAATCTCACAAGGGTACAGGAATCCAATGGAGAAGTGCATGTTTCCAGGTGCTCTCAATGTGCACATAAACAGCTTTGGTTTGGGGACCCAGCAGTGGGCATGTATAACAAAAATGAATTGAAAAGAAAAGTTGCACATAGAGTAATTTTAATCCATTCCATTTTTAAATACCACAATAAATTTAATTTTCACAATAAATTAAATAGCCATATTCAGTTTACAAAATAGAGTTACTTAGTGTGAAACAAGTATTTACAATAATATACACTATGTACATGACATTTCTCTTTGTTGACATAGAACATGGAAGCGAAAGGACTTACCAATGTATGATCGACATGCTACAAGTGACATCATGGTCCATACGAGAAAACAATAGTGCAAAATCACCACAGGAACTTTGGGACAATGTCAATTTTAGGAGATAGGACATCCTTTTAAATCATAAGAAAATAGCATTTTCTGTTTTCCTGGCACCAATTCAGCATCTGAATTAAAGAGCCAGCTTTCCCTTAGAAAAGAATGCATAACCGAATCCTCTCCTTCCTGCAGCTTCACAGCCATTGGTACTTTTCACACATTCATCTTTTGGCTTCAATTTATGTAAATGGCGGGTGACAAATTCTGACACAAAGGAAGACTAACTCTTTGAGAATAGCTGAAGTCCCTTTCCCCCAATACCACCACTTCTTCTTTTAGTAACCTGTCTTTCAAAGATGCAACTAAGCAGACAGCAAATTGTTTTTGTACATTTTCATCAGAAAAAAAGAACTGGACTTATATTTTGGTCACACACTGTGTATATACAAGTAGAGATGGAAACATGACTTGGATAGTTGTGTCTCGGAAAAGTGCATATTTCAATGGAGAGGAGACATTGCGTGTCTCCAGGCACAACACATGGTGTTGTCTGACTTATTATTTTAGGGCCAGTTCAGTGTCCTCCCAGTGATCTGGTAAAACTTTTGATTGAAAGGGTGAAAGAATTTGCGCAATTTGGTAATGACAGAGGGGTCCACCTCTGGATGAATGCGCCCCTTGCTGCCAGCCAGGCACTTATTAAAGATAACGTTAAATCGCAAGCAGTAGAACCCTCTGGTAACATTGAAATACAAGTTGTACTGACTTATTCTCGGGGGAAGATTTAGGAACTTCTCCACGAGCTGAAGTTCTGGCAGAGGCTCCGTGATGAGGCGATCTCCATCCACAATGTGAAATTGCTCAATCGGAAAGTATTTCAACCACCTCTCCAAATGTTTGGTGTAGATGCTGGTTCTTACTGCTTTGTATTTTGTGTTCACTTCGCAGGTATTAGGGTCTATAGCCAGCTTCTCAAACTTGTAATAAGTTTTATTCTTCCTCTCCTTTCCCTCTAGCACCTGAGTGTAATCAGAAATAGCTCTTGTGGTTGGCTCCCTGACAATGATCAGCAACTTGATGGATGAGTTCATTTTGTAAATCCTTTCTGGAACCTCCTCTGTGATAAAATATGCCGGGCTCTTTTCAATTGTGATTTGCTGAGGGTAGGAAAAAGGCATCTTTTTTCTATACCACTCAATGCCCTTGGCATAATTCTCATCATTGTCAAAAAAGTGGATTTCTTGAGAGGCTTTGACCACAGCTGGATGGAGGTTCAGCATCTCAAGCAGGGCCCTGGTGCCTCCTTTTCTCACCCCAATGATAATGGCCTTGGGGAGTTGCTGGACCAGGTCATGAAGGCGAACCTGTTCCTTGGAAACGTTGCCCTTCCGGAACTCGTGCAGCAGGCCGCGCTTGAACTGCAGGGCACGGAGCGGGAAGTCAGCCTGCCCGCGGGCTCCAAATCGGCCTTCAATGGGGCAAATGGGTTGTAGCCTGCAAACAACAGAGACACTGTAAGAACCTCACTGCCACTAGATTCTCATTTTCCTGGTTCACCAGTCAGAGTAAGACTTTAAATGCATAAATAAAACCACTGTTTCCCTGCCTGACGCAATCCATAATGAACATATGTCTGAGAAATTTTATTTTAAGCAACACTGTATTAAATAGAGCACACATAATTGATGGGATTTTTTTTTTTTATTAGTGCTCCTTAAATTTTTTATTCACCAAGCACTTAATTGACTACAGCACGTACTTATGTTCACACAGTACAGGACAGACAAGTGACACCAGTCATACTAATAGCTTTTTAACAGCTCACCAGTTAACATTATTAGAGAATGTGAAAGGTGGGAAATTATAATCTTGAGCTGGGAGGCTGAAGGGCAGCTTGGAGGCTAGTCTTTTGGGTTTCGTGTGTATTACTATCTTGCGGCATTCCTATGGTTCTTAAAAACTGTTGATGCATAAACCGAAAAGAGGTTGCAGTCTCTGCCTTTGGTTATTTGCATCATCAACCTGAAAAATTCCAAAATTGGCACTTGCTGAGCTTTTCATCCTCTTGAGAATTTTTGTTGTTGTCCTTAGGGACAGCTGGAAGAGTACTGTATTTCTTTTCTTCCTATCTAAAGTGGTCAGGGTTATGTTTTTACTTGGTTAAATGTAGGAACAAACCCAATGCCATCAGCAAGTTCTGTACATCACTTACCACGCCTGGGACCAGAAATCAACACAGCCTTAGCAGGGCCAGAAACCTCAGGTCCTTATTGCCAAAACCGTTTAAATCAGGAACTCAAGTTCATGAAGAAAGGGATGCAATCAATGGAGCCAGAAAGAAGGATTCCCACTTCAACATTGCCTTAAATAATGAACTACTTCCACTGCTTCTCTCAGAGAAAAAGGTGTGGTGATAAATATAATGCTATTAGACTGGAGTGGCTGTTTAATCTGGCATAGCTAATATATATGGTTAGTACATTGAGTTTCCTTTGGTGTATAGTCTGGAATAGAACTGAAATTCATTATAATTTCCCTAGGATTATTTGGAAAGGCATTTTAACCATCTTGGTAAAGGGTAGAAGCCTGGTAAAAATGACTCTTGAGCCGATGCCTTCAACTGAAACCTCTAGTTATCCCAATAATTGGGAGTCTGTGTCTACTTCTCTGTGTCAATAAGTTTCTTTTTTACATTTCACAAGAGACTCTATTGTCCCTTTCTTATCTTCTGTAATGTTAACTTTAAAAGGAGAAGAGGAGAATCTCAAAGTCATGCCAAGGCATTCTGCAGAACTGAAGAGAAAGGGCTTGGCTTGTGCTCTGTGTAAACAGCCTATTCAAATGCTTAAGCAAAAATATAAACGTAGTTTACTTTTTTTGCGGTGCTTGTTTTTTTTTTTTATGATTTTAAACACAACTCATGCTCATCATGGAAAACATGAAAATATGGAACACTATAAAAAAGTTTATCACAGTCACTATGTTAGAGAAACATAAATTTTGTTTACACAAATTTGTAAAGATTAACACTGGAGTTCTAAATGAAGATATAAAAGGAGCAACACACATAGAGTCAAAGATGTTTTTAATTGTGACATTGCTTGGGACCTCACAAATTCACCTTTTAGCTCTTCTTGATTGACAAGTAAGGACTAATTGCCTAAGACATCCATTGAATATACTGGATGGACTTCTCTTTTGTGCATCTAGAATGATGCTAGTGTCTATCATCCTTGAAAGAATTAAAGCAATAGTCAAGTCCTTTTCTGTAGGACTTAATGCTCCTGAGGAATTCTGGCTGAGAGAGGCTGAAATAGAGTCCCTTTCCTACCTCTAGAAAGGGCCATTTGTCTTTCTTCTTTCCTCTTTCCACCTGCTACCCTGGGAGTTCATGGTCTGCCGAACAATTGCTTGTTGGACTCCATAACTCAAAATTGGAGAAAATATCACCTTGTTTTGACTTCTTGAAAAGTAGATTCTGAGCATGGGGCTCAGACTATGTAACATGGACTCTAAGGATTGGAAGGGACTGTAAAAGTAACCGAGCTCAGCCTACCATTCAGAGTTACTATAAGATAAGCGTAAGTCAGGAAGGGTAAATTTTAGATGCAACCCACTCATACTCTCAACTGCGAACTTTTGAGAAAGCCCAATAAGCGATCTATCTTCTTATAAAAATGATCCCATTTGAGACTATAAACTAGGTGAAAAATGAAAAGAACCAACTAAGTAACTAATACCTTAATGACCATTAGATCAATTACTCAATAAAAAGGAAATGATTGGGAAGAACTTGATATAAAAGTCCCTTTATGGACATAGGACAATGATACCACCTTAAGGCTTTTCACTAATAACTAAACACTACCTTTAGGGAATTACTTGAAGTCAGTGATAAACCGAGCATACCATTTCGAATAGTTAGCAACTAGTACATGGACATTTACGCTGGATTTTTTAATTGAAAAAGATAAAGGGGTTCACTTTACCAGTCAAAACTGACACTGGCAGAAAGAAAGACCATTGCTATATTGTTTGGTCACTATCCATGGTAATAAGATCTATAGATTAGAAAAGGAAAACTGCAAGGGAGATATTTTCATTTTAAAGTGTGGCTGCATTTTCACAGAAGATGTGAACTGAATGCATGGAGAACACACGTCAGCCTTTCCAGAGCAACAGTTAATTTAAAGAGCAAAGAAGGAAGCTTCACTTTTCAGAAATTCAGTTCTCTGTCCTTTACAGTCACACTGGAAGTTGGACAGCCCAGAGGTGTTCATTGTGAAGCCAGATGATATTGCTTGGCTTCTGCAGGTTGTGCACCTTTCAACTGTTTGCTTATTTAGAGCCAACCCCTGGCTCTGTAAATTTCCTCTCCATAGATTTTCCATTGGTTTCTGGGCAATTACTCTGAGTGACAGGCTCCTTGTCTGGTATATCCAACTCCTGGAAACCAGAGCCAATTAACATAGTTCAAACTCCCCACGCCTGCAGCCATCTTTCCAGGGCAGTGGGTTCCAAATTTGACGAGCTCCTTTATAGGCACAAACATAATTTGAACTCTCCTGGTAGCACGTTAATGGCTCACTCATAAATTTCAAAATGAAAATACCTAAATACATCATCACCATCTTGCTATGGCTAGAGGTCAACAACCAGATGCACACAGACCAAAGTGAGCTTTAGAAAATGGACATTTCCCCTGTACATGGCTTTATCCCTTCTCTGAAAATAAATGTCAGTGTACACAGAATACAAATGGATCCTGACGAACACCTTGGTTTGAGCAACTTGGATCTCTGTTTTAAAGGCTCAATAGATCAAAATCAATACTGCAAAAAAGCATGTTTCTTGGGAATTTTGAAGGAGGAAAACAAAAGGGTAGATTTAAAATTATGTCCTAAGGAAATTTAAGTCAAGAAACACGTAAAGTCACATGGGCATAGGTATATGTTTAATCACCTACCTATCCAAACTCCCAACTCTGGCGACTAGATACAGGAGACTTCCAACAGCAAGGCTTCCCAGCACCAGGAGCTTCTGTCTCAGCCACACCTGCTGTTTGAATAGCATGGCCCTCCATCAACCTTCAGGACTTCTGTAGCCTGAGAGATGGGGATAGAAGGGGACTCATTAGTGGTCTTCTCTTTGTCACAAAGCTAAGCAGGGGTAGGAAAACAGGTAATTAAGTGATGCTGCATGAAGAACAGACCTCATACCAACCTTGACAATGTTCATGAGTATTTAGCAAAACTTGGTTTCCTTTTCCTGGCCTTTAAGATCAAATACAAAATTGGGAGAAGATACTACTAACCAGACAGAACCTGCTGGACAATTGTCAAGGTAAATTAAAATGCACATATTGCAACAAATAATAAATATATATGGCTGTACAAATATGCTTACTAGAGGCCTGGTGCATAAAATTCGGGCACTCATGGAGGAGTGGTGTCCTTCAGCCCGGCCTGGACTCTCTCATAGTCCAGGAGCCCTCGGGGAATGTCCGACTACTGACTTAGGCCTGGGAGCAGGCCTAAGCTGGCAGATGGATATCCTTAGTGCTGCCATGGAGGTGGAAGAGGCTCTTGCCACCACTGCTAAGCTCACCAACCATGAGCCCAGCTTCTGGCTGAGTTGCACACCCCCTATAAGGGTATGCTGATCACCAGATGGCAACTCCTGGGTTGAGCATCTGCCCCCTGGTGGCTAGTGTGCATTATAGTGACTGGTTGTTCTGCAGTTTGGTCAAGTTGCATATTAGCCTTTTATTATATAGGATATTTGTTGTTGTTAGCCATTAAAAGTATTGATAACATGAGCAACTAAGCAATCTGAGGTTTACTGGCAGGGCAACCAGTAAACTGAAGTTTCTGCCTCCGAATAACAGGGCAAATATAGAAATTGAAACCCCAATTCAGTAAGTTATTGTTTTGGGCATAACATTTTACCAACTTATGTTGTTTTGTTCTAATTGTGAGTGAAGGAAGCGAGCAAGATCAAAAGCTATTTCTTTACTTATTAAAGTCATCAGGGTTTACTAGCAGGACCCCAGATGTTTAAGTAGAGTGGCATCAAGTAACCTGATCTTTCCTTCAAGTTCTCTGCCAGTTTCTGAATTGGACTGAAAACAGTCTTAGGTCCCTCCTCTGTGACCCCTCCTTTGGGTGGGTGGGTTTGGTGATATCGGTCTTCCTATTACATTATAACAGAAGGTTAACTGGGAGCTTTGACGTCACACCTGAAATAAGGCTAGCGAAACGTGTAAGACATTACTAGCGCTATTATTAAATTTGGGGAAAAACGCAAGCTTCCAATTCAGCCTTTTTATTAAAAATAAATCAAAACCCCCTTTCAAGATAAGATTCTTATTGTAGCTCAATATAGTGACCCAAGAAGAGGGACTACAGCAGTGGGCTGTAGATTCTCCCTTTATGAAAAGCCCAGTTATTACCATGGAGGTTTTGCTCTGTGGGATAAGCTGCTACTTTCAGACCAGTCCTTTATATATGAGATGTCTTAAATAGACTCATTGTGTGTGTGTGTGAGGGGGCGTGTTCTTTCATTGGGAGGTTTCATTTCCCCAGCCCTATGTTTGTAGGACTGGCTTAGCACTGCCTCCTATACTTTATTTATATAAATATATTGATAACTTACACCCTCAAAAGCATCTTCATATCCACTGTGACACTGAGGAGAATGATAATTTAAAAAAAATATATTTTATTTATTTTTTACAGAGGGGTAGGGAGAGGGATAGAGGGTTAGAAACATCAATGAGAGAGAAACATCGATCAGCTGCCCCCACACACCCCCTACTGGAGATATGCCTGCAACCAAGGTACATACCCTTGACTGGAATCGAACCTGAGACCCTTGATCCACAGATGGACGCACTACCCACTGAACCAAACTGGTCAGGGTGAGAATGATAATTTTTATTTGAGATCACAATTAATGTGAATGAGTCATCCACGGTGAAGTGCAAAGACCACTGGATTGAAAGTCAAAGACTCCCAGTCACATTTTGGTTTAATTTTGTAATGGAAACTTTCTAAATTTTGGTATTCTCATCTGTAAAATGAAGATAACTATGGGAAAGAACTTTATGGATATTTGGCACTTACCAAAAATAAAGCACAATTGATTACCTTTGGGAGGCTGATAAATTAATTCTTACAGTTCATTTTAAAGAGGAAAATAATAAATGACATTCTCATTAATTGTACAATTGGATTTTGAGAAATATAAGTCTATTTTTAATATAAATAAAATGTCAGTTTAATGGAAACTCCTGTTAAATATTAGAATGCTAACAATATATTTTCTGTTCAAAGAAAGATGGCTCATTTAACAAAAACAAAAGATTAACACTTATATTGTTAGGCTGAAATCTCTTGGAATGTTTGAGATGTGAGAAAGCCAAATGCATAGTTCTAATGAGTTTCTCTAGGGCATAGGAGTGAAATCGCATTCTGTTTTATTATATAATATAACCGGTCTCAGACAACATGCCAAGAGTCAATATAGCAGCCTCTGAATAAAGTTTGCTTGGAGAAAACAAAAAAATACTTGGTTAATTTAACACTCAAGATTCCTTTAAAATTGTTTTAAAATAAATTTTTATTTATTGATTGATTTTAGAGAGAAAGAGAGAAAGGAAGGGAGAAACATCGATTTTTTTCTGTATTTTCAGTTCTTGATGCACTTTTATTTTCATAGGTTGATTCTTGTATGTGGCTTGACTGGGGATTGAACCTGCAACCTTGGCATAGTAGGCTGATGCTCTAACCCAGTGGTCAGCAAACTCATTAGTCAACAGAGCCAAATATCAACAGTACAACAATTGAAATTTCTTTTGAGAGCCATTTTTTTAAACTTAAACTTTTTCTAATGCCACTTCTTCAAAATAGACTCTCCCAGGCTATGGTATTTTGTGGAAGAGCCACATTCAAGGGGCCAGAGTCATATGTGGCTCGAGAGCCGCAGTTTGCTAACCACAGTTCTAACCAATTGAGTTACCTTGCCAGGGCCAATATGCCTTTCGGTTTACTAATACAACATCATGAAGTGCTTGAGCCTTTGCCGAAAGGGAGTCTTAAATGTTGGAAGTTATTGACTTTGGTCTAGGAATATAAACTAGAGATCCACTGAGCCAAACCAGTTTTGGCATATTATGGGGATCTTAATCTTTCATCAGAGCAGTCAGAATGGTAATAGACAATTTATGTAGAGTGTAAGTTTTTTAATTAAAAAAAGGTAAAAGACCTACAGTGATTTTAAGCCTGCCTTCATCACAGGTTATTAATATTTCAGTGTTTTTCATGTTGCATTCCAAGAACAGCATAATTATCGTTTTTCCAGATTACTAAAGCTTTAATAAACACGGCATCTTAGCTGAACAAAGCAGAATGTCTACATAACAGAGTACTGGCCAGAAGCGACAAATTGTAAAGACATCTGGCAGCTTCTCCAAAGCAGCACTAAGCAAAGAAGGAAATGATTCCCAAGCTGAAACAAAGAAATAAGGAAATTAGAAAAATAATAATAAAGATACGTCCAAGTGCTGCTCAAAGGGTTGTCGACGCGGTTACTGCAAGCCCCTGGTACCCATAAAAACAATAACAGAAACAATAGTAGCAAAGTTCATTAAAAATGACTGAACTTATATAGCAGAATTATTCCATGACCATCTTTTGAGTATTAGCTCATTTATCCTGGGCAACAGCCTTATGCAGTGGACAGGAAGGACCATTTTTGAGCACTAGGCTCTCTGTTAGTTTCTTTTACATTTTTTATCTTATGTAATACAACAGACTTGTGAACTATTATCCATTTTATTTATTTATTTATTTATTTTTTTGGTGGAAAATGAAGAGAGATGAGCAGATCAAGGGCATGTGGAAGGAAAATGTGGAAGAAGGATTTCAAATCCAGAATTCTTTGACCCCAAGGAAGGTGGCCCCTTGATTGCAAAGCCACTCATCCAGCTTTGGATGCTCACCTAGGAGACAAATGTTTGTTTACTGATTGATGAGAGCGACAAAACCACTTAACTCCACCCAAATTACCTGCCATTGAACCTGGAAGTAGGGTACAGGAAGGTAAAAAAGAAGAGTAAAAGAGGAAAAAAATTTTCCATAGAAGGACAGATAAAAGAGGCCATTTGGGTGGCTTGAACCTGATAAAAGGAACAATGTTAATAAGTAATGATGATGATAATAATAATAACAACAATGAAAGGTAGTATTTTTAAATTTACAAAATCTTTTTAATACTCATTATACCAGTTATAATTAAGACTGACCAGAATCACAGGAACTTCACTTGTTCTCCCCAAAATTCAAGAACTGACTTTCTTTTTGATAGCTTTACAGTAGGTGATCAAAATAACATTGGGTTTTTTGTTTTTTGTTTTTTTTGTTAATCCTCATCTGAGAATATTTTTTCGTTGATTTTTAGGGAGAGCGAAAGAAAGAAAGAAGGAAGGAGAGAGAGAAACATCGATGTGAGAGAAACACATCGATTAGTTGCCTCCCGCATGAGCCCCAACCAGGTCCTGGGCAGGGGAGGAGCCTGCAACCAAGGTACATGCCCTTGACCTGGAGTCAAGCCCAGGACCCTTTGGTCTACAGGCTGATAGTCTGTCCACTGAGCCAAATTGGCTAAGTCTACATTAGTTTTGACTGCCATTTGATTCACATTCTTATGCACTGATTCCCATAAGATCTTGGTTACATTTGTTAACTATCAACCCATCCCCAACCACTCCTCTCCCCTCCCTTGCATCTCTTCCCCTTCACTCTCTGTGAATGGCTCCCCTTCTGCTTACTACAGTCACCCAACCCAGAAACCTTGGAGTCCTTCATCCTTGGCTCTATCCCTCCCCTAACATCCATTTAGCCAGTAAAATTCTACTTCCAAAATGCTATTAGAATCCACCTACTTCTCTGCATTGTTATTTGTTACTGCCCATCTTCAGGTCACCCTCTTTGTTTTAGAGTTATGTTCTCTCCACTATTAGTTTGCTCCTGGTCAATTTATTCTCCATACTAATGCCAGAGTGGTCTTTCCAAACAAAAATTTGATCATGTTACCTTCAGTCTTAATATACTTTAATCGGTCCCTATCATCATTTACATATTTGTTTGTTTTTAAAAATATATTTTATTGATTTTTTACAGAGAGGAAGGGAGGAGGATAGAAAGAAACATCGATGAGAGAGAGACATCGATCAGCTGCCTCCTGCACACCCCCTACTGGGGATTTGCCTGCAACCAAGGTACATGCCCTTTACCAGAATTGAACCCAGGACCTTTCAGTCCACTGGCCGATGCTCTATCCACTGAACCAAACTGGTTTCGGCCATTCACAGGTTTTTAAAAGATGTTTTTAATTCTCTCCAAAGCAACTTCACAGTATCCCCAATGGCTACATGTACAGAGGTTAGCACACAAAACAACTTGTGGTTCTTTTGAATAGAATAGGCCACAGTCAGTTTTGCTTCAGGGCTGGAAACATAAGGTTTCTATAGCTTGGAAAAAATAACTCTGTGCCTCATTTATCAGGTCTGGGACACCAATAAAGGGTATCCCAATAGGATACTAATAGCCTGCCCCATAGCACTGCTGTGAGGAGTAAATGAGCATGTAAAGTAATTAGAACACTGCTTGCCACATAGTAATACTCAATAAATGTTAGCCAGTCTATTAATGCTTCCACCTCCCCTCATCACAGGCCTTGGTTTAATTCCCATCTTTTAGATCTTAGGTTCCTGGGAGATCTTTCTTGATCACGCAGGGCTGGCCTACATGTTTCTCCTGAGTCACCACAGTATCCTTCTTTCCTCCAGCCCCCCTTCCCTTTTTTTCCCCTCTCCCCCTCCCCCCTTCCTTCCTTCCTTCCTTCCTTCCTTCCTTCCTTCCTTCCTTCCTTCCTTCCTTCTTCCTTCCTTTCCTTTCCCTTCCCTTCCCTTTCCCTTTCCCTTTCCCTTTCCCTTTCCCTTTCCCTTTCCCTTTCCCTTTCCCTTTCCCTTTCCCTTTCCCTTTTCTTTTCTTTTCTTTTCTTTCTTTCTTTTCTTTTCTTTCTTTTCTTTTCTTTCTTTTCTTTCTTTCCTTCCTTCCTTCCTTCCTTCCTTCCTTCCTTCCTTCCTTCCTTCCTTCCTTCTTTCCTTTCTTTCTTTCTCTTTCTCCTCAGCTTTCTGTGCCTCATTCCAGTTTCTCTCTGCACTCTACCACTGACTATATTCTCTAAATAACAGAACTTAAAAAAAAAAAAGAGTGCAGTGCTGTTATTCTTAGGTGACCTTAGCAAAAATACAACTACATGTCTTAGAAAATCTTGTATTTAACAAATCTATAAAATAATTTATAATTAGTTTTTATTCAAAATAATACTAAAAGTCTCCATTCTTGGGCCGGCTAATATATTCTTAAATTGCAGTGTTAACATGTTTCAAAACTTAAAATTTTTTTTTTTTTTTTTTTTTTTTTTTTTTTTTTTTTTTACCTGAGATATTCTAGACTCTGAATTTCAGATCTTCATTTCAAGGCCAGGAGCTCCACTAATTCTCAGACTGAGATAACCAGCTATGTTTCATCATCAACAAATATTTACTGAGTACCAACAATGTGCCGGGCACTGCAGATTGCCAGAAATGATGTGGAGAATAGGAGACTCTGACCCTGCCTCTTGCTATTCTTCTAGTATTCAAGGTCAGCTCTTGATAAAAGTGTAAGGAAACTGCATCTTCTTTCAAGCACAGAGCCCAGATCCTCTTAGATGGTTGTGAAGGAAGAATTCCCACAAATACAAAGTCTTCTGGATCTTAGGGTCTCATCTCCTGATCCTAAGATCCACCTTCATGAAGGTGCTTGCCTTCTCCCCAAGTAGCCATAGTCAAACCACTCTCCAAAAAGCACCATTTTTTTTCTTTTAACAGGACTCTTCAAGACCGCTTGCTAAGTAAAGAATTTATTGGGTGTGTTTGGACTAGACTTTGTCAAAATAAATACTTGTGACCAGACAGGGCTTGTGGCCTGTGCATTAGCCTGGGGCTCTGTGCTCAGAAGGGCCCAAGCATGGTTGAAAGCTTTGTTGTCACTGACTTGAAATTCCTAATAAGTTCTGAATAAGAGGCCCCATATTATTTTTGCACAAACGATTTGTACAGGCCTGCAGCCAGACTTTCCAGCCTTCAGAGACTAGATTACTTATGTGTAGGTTGTGGCTCTTTCCCAGTGGTGCCTCCTTTTACCAGCCTTTTGGCTTTAAGAGGCAGGCATTGTCTTAAGTGTACCACATAGGAACACAATCTTTCACATTTTCCTACAGGACTGGAATTCCACTCCCTCTTATTTCTCTGAGTCCTGTGGTCTTCCCTGAGGCCCATCCCTTCCCTGGATACTCAGCCCTTAGGAGCATGGGAACTACCCACAAAGCCTTACGCTCCTAAGTGCCTTATCCACAGCAGAGCCTGTGCCATATGAGGATGATGTTCACACACACACAAACCAGCAGGGGGCTTCATTAAAATAGATTAGTAATGGGAAACCCTTTGAGGTAAAGAAGGCAGTATCATCACCTGTAACATGCAGATGAGCAAATGCAGAGACAAGGATTAACAGTCATTTGCTCCTATCATAGGATAGAAAACTCTTTCCCACTCCCCTCCTCCCTTCAAATTAAAACAAAACAGGAAGTTCAAACCAAGTTACCTGCTATGTGACATTGGGTAAGTCACCTAACCTCCTTGATCTTCCAGGATTTTTTTTTTTTTTTTTTTTTTTTTTTTTACCCAAGAAACAAAGGGCTTGAAGAAATAAGTTCAGCAATCCTTCCAGGCTCTAAAATTTTTTTATCCTAAAGGATCCTATCAGAGTGGCCCTCAATGAGTATCCTTATAGAAGATATTAATATATAAGGAACCAAAGACAATTGTAGTGGGGGTAAATTAGTGCCAGAGATAAATCTCAAATTTTAATTTCTTATTATCCTTCATTTTTAAGCAGTCTTGACCTCTTTCAAGACGGCTGCTTCACACTATACTGTCTATCACTGTGAAAACCAATCCTTTCACCTTAAAACATAAAATTTCTTTGAAAAGATACTTAAGAAAGAGTCTGCTGATTAGCTTTCAATGTGTCCTACTGTCTGAGACTCAGAGGAATCACATTTTGAAAAAAAAAAAAATTAACCAAGGGCAGCTGAAGAAAATTGTCATAAAGAATTTTCTTTTCTTCTAATATAATGATCGCATGAGAGCTGTAATGAGAAGGAAACAAGTGAAGAGGGGCGCAAGCACAAGGGCAGGGAAACCAGTGCTCTGCACGCATCAAGCCGATTGTGGGGAGAGGGTGCACATGAAGAGGAAACGAGACCATTCGCTAGTAGATTAAGCAGAAAATGTATTGGCCAGGATGCTCATAATTGCTCTAGCAAACAGTGAAGGCAGCTACTTAGCTCTTTGTTTCTTCAGTTAACCGTGAAGGGTCAATGTTAGAAATAAAAAGGAAAAAAGCTGATAAATTATACAGAACTGCGGAGTTTATGACTGCTCTGTGCTGAGTGCTTATCCTCCTGGGAATCATTGCAGAAGCAGCTTTGAGCAAATTCCAAGTTTTCAAATGTGTTCTCCATTTCTTCCCTCCATTCAGCTTTTGATATCCTGCATACATAATTTATCACAGCTACCATTATTGTGTTAGCTTGAGTAGTCCTCTGGCTTTCTGTCTGCAGAAGGATACTCATTTTGCATTTGTAATGACCAAACTTAAAAGGAGCCAGTTAATTCTGCCTCTGTTCAGTGGTCTCATTTAGTAGGAAGATGTCTTAAGAGATAGGAATTAAATTTTATTTTGACAGGAATCCCAATTAGTCTTAATCTCAGTATCTCATTGGTACATGTAACTAATGTATATAGAAGGGTGTGTGTTTTTTCCCCCTCCTAAACTTTCTTTGCACTTTATTCAGTAGTTGTTGGGAGTTTAGTAAATTTGTCCTGCTGGTGAGTTCAGAAGTACAATCTTTCACTCTCTTAATATCATGTTTATGTAGAAAAGTGTGAGTTGGAGAGGTAACAATTCTACAGATGGCTCAAACAGAACATCCCAGTAAGTTAGGCTCATGCAATTAAAGAGTCAAGTTAACTAAGTACTCTCTGCCTGTATAGTTGAAGTCAATTGTATAGTAATATTAGTTCTACTTTTTATTCCCAATAATAGTTGAATGTATTTAGTTTAAAATCAAGGGTAGTATTCACTACTAAACAGAAAGTCAGCTTTTTAGTCTTATTTCCTAACTCACAAATTTTGTTTTGGTGAGGAACAAAGAAACAGTATATATATAAAAAAGTCTCTTAATTCTAAAAAGAGACTAAACGGATGGAGATACTTTTATCATTATATTTTATTTGATTATAGTTCTCATTATCCTC